GATGTGATAGTTTTTTGGAGGGATTGAAAATGTGAAAATGATAATTAAGGTAAAGTGAAATGTGAAAAGGGAAAATGGAAATAAGGGTTTTTAAGGGAGTTAAAAAAAAGGAATGAAAGGAAAAATAAGGAAGTAAAACGGCTCGGAATGCAAGGGCATTCCAAAATAGGAGCAAAATGGGATAAGGGGGACGAATGTATAATTAGGTTTTTGCGGGTGTAAAAAAAGGAAAGAGGAAAATGCAGAAAACTGTAAACACGCAGGAAAGCAAATTCCATTCTGAGTCATAGGGTAAGAAGGGAAAAAGAAAAAAAAAACATTATATAATTTTATAATAAGAACAGTATATTTTACACAACCATCGTTCACATACGCCTGGGTCCTACACATGGACTCCTAAAAGAATTTACGCAAATTTTCTGGCAGAAAAGCGATTTCGGAAAAGGAACAATGTAGAAAACTGAAACTTCACAGGCTTATTCCGTGCCCTTGTCTGCATTAAAGGGTCAGTTCGAAAGCAAGCTTGCTTCGTGCGTTCGAAAATGTCAAAGTTGGAATTTCACAACAGCTGGCAAAACGCCAACCCGGGAATTAACCTTAGTAAGTCCTCAGACTTTACCAAAATATGTGCAGTTTGCTTATGGATCTGCAGGCGTTAAATGAGCACTCGCGTATATCTGTATCACCCGTACGGAAATGTTGAACTACTTTTGGGGGAAAAGTAATTTCGATAGATAACTGAGCCAGGAATCTGAAGATTTCTAGAGATACGGCGATGCGTGGCTTTAACACTTGAACTTCGCCTTTTACACATTTCTAGATCTGGAGCATGAGCATGCCGTACTTGTGGTTGAAGTATTGTTGGCATTCATTTAACACGCGATTCAGACTTCATGGACAGCTCAGTTGTATGAAAATCTCGGTTGTTCATGCTTGAGCACGTATGAAAGTTACATCTGCGGATCATCCTTCTTGCTCGGATACATCAGATGTTGCCTACTGTAGCAACCTTCTCATCCTGAACGTTTTGCTAGGGTGTTGAGTTTTTATGTAATGGTGACTCGTCTCACTGTGATACCAAATACGTAAAATAACTTTTCGTTCATGCCATTTTCTCGGAGATATGTTGGAAAGATTTCAGCCACCGCATTCAAATAGCAGGACAAATTTTCCACTTTGGCCTCCTGCACTTCACATCACACTATGCATAAGGGCTATGCTTCGCATGAATATGCAGATTCGCATTATCACTGGTAGCATAATGCTAGCGACATTCGTGGTGCATTTTTGCATGCATACAGATGCAACCCAGGCTGCAGCGCATCAGGCTTGCCGGCACAATCGTGCGCTTTCACGCTAAGCTTGCAGATCGCTAACAACAGGAATGGTTCCTGTGCTGCACTTTAACACTTACACTCATATTCGCAGTGTTTTGTCTTCTTCCCTCATGCAGTGGAAAAGGAGGTCTACTGAGATAGTGTATCATTATGGGGCCACATGTGTCTCCAGCATGCATGATTATCGGTTTTTTTGCATGAAGCCCGGTTGCTTTTACGGTGAGTGCTCGTTTACTGAAAAAATACAATTTGAAGAAAGTTTGGAGAAGATTATGCAATCTGCAAAGTGCTTTCGCTTTTGAGTTTGCGATCAAACTGAGTATTTTTCATTTCTGCGCGCATGGAATTTCACCTCCAAGTTGAATTAAGTTCATTTTTAGATGAATACAGAATATCCTTGCAAAGTTCCCGCTTCGCAGCTTGCCTGGTAAGCGAAATAGCCACTTCGCTACAAATATCTTTGAACTGCCTTAAGTCATGGCGCAAGTGCAAGTCGGAACTCAGTTTAGGCACACTATTTACCATATGAATTAAAAATACGGCGTCAAAATTTCATCTACTGTTTCTCGACTAATTTTCGAGCTAGCAAAGTGCCAAATGCGAACTTTAACATAACCACATGTGCGGTACATGCGTACGCTACAGCTGAATTTGAAAACTTTAGCTTACGCAAGCACACAGAATGTCTCTGCAAAGTTTCGGCTTTCTATATTGTGTGGTTCGCGAAACCGTTCTCCGCCAAAGAAATCTGCATATTTTTCCGGGGGTCCGTACGCGAGATCTAGGCGCGTGTAAGCGAAGACTTCAAAATGGGAGGGTGACGCACGGTGCTGGCATATGCCACCAAAATTCCAGCCTCCCAGCTTTCCTGGTTGCTGAGTTGAAAGTAGATGACAATGCTCACTCGCTTCCTAACACACACATGGATAACCTCTCGACAATATGCGTTTTTGCCCGCTGTAATAGCGCTATAGCGCTGCGCAGCAAAGACGCATAAAAACGCGTATTGTGGCCATCCGTGATGTGTGTATGTTTGTGTGTACATATTTTCAGCCATTTCGACTAGGCAACCAAGCAAGCTTCGGCGCTGAAATTTCGTCAGTGGTTCCCTCGGCCAAATACCATGTCAGGATCGCGGCAGCAACCTTCACGCACGCCCGAGTCTCGTGTGCAGATAGGCGAAAGTTTTGGCGTCAAAGTTGCTAACTTGAGAGCCAAAAAAGCTGAAATTTCAAGGCAATGCCCTCTATCCAACTTGAACTTAAAGATTACAAACACAGCTCAGCGGTTTTCCGTACAGGCATTTACAAATTTTGGCGGGGAAATTGCCCACTGATAGCTAGTTCCATTTCAAAGAACAATCATTAAACGCTGTTCATTTTCCTTTATGCAAAATATACGATGATTTGCGCTAATTAGTACACAAAGTAAGTGTAAAGCAACAACCATTCATTTAGTCAACCACCTAATTGCTTCAGCTTCACCTGATCACATTGGCCCGCCTGATGCATACTGCCAGTGGTTGCATTTGCATAAACGTGAAAGGAATAAAGAGTGCCAAAGTAGAAATAGGAACCCTTCTACATCCGAATGGTCTTCAGTTGCGATTTCAATTGAAAACCGTTCAACAATTTCCTTATTAGTACATACTGTTTCCAGTTCTTCAACACTGCATATTTTGCTGAAATCGAAATAAAATACGAACCAATTTCACAGTGCATTCCGTTGAATCCGAGACTGCATACACAAGAAGGCATCCCTTTTGTGCCAATGCAGATGCCGCTGTTATTGCAGTCACTGAGATCGCACAGACTGTTTGCTATTTGTGGCCTCGGATCAGACCCCTGCACTAGCTCGCATCGCTGTCCAAGGAAGCCAGGACTACAAGCACAGATATAATTTGCTTTGGTGCCAAGACATACACCTTTATCGTTGCAGTCACTCGAATCGCATGGTGTATCCGTCACTGAAAAAACTGCAGTTTCTTATTAGCAAAATGCAATCGCAATTTTAAGACGGGACTGCAACGTCTCAGCCGTAGCAGTTGTTACGGAAAAGTTCAGAAAAGGGTTCAGATTTACTGATGGCCCCACCGTAGCCCAAATGATGAACATCGAACTGCTTG